TAAAAAAAAAAAAAAAAAAAAAAAGACTGGTTGGTTCAATACTTTCTCCACCTGTGAGCACTTTTGTCATATTTCCTTTTACCCAAGGCAATTTGACACGAAGGCTCTGCATTTTAAAATCTTGTCAGGACAGATGTGTCTGTCTGGAATTGGTTGCCTTTTCAATTGATGAATCTGGATTGAGTCTTTTTTTGGTCAATTTTAAGGAACTCTTAAATGTTCTTTGAAAATGTTTTGTCTGTTACAAAATATTTGTTGTTATGTAACATCCAGAAATTTTTAAGGATAAATTTTTAAGGATATTAAGCCACACTTTAACCAAATGTCTGCACCTCATTGGATTATTCTCATAGTAAGGAATGTATTTTCTGGGCAGATTTCTGTCAAAGCAGTATTTAAATCTGGTTACATATTATTTGCTGATAGGATGGGTTTTTATTTCCCCCTCCATTCTGGGTGCTTGAAATGAAGATTCCCTTTGCACTTTTTGCAGTTCCAAGGAATTAAACCTGGGTCATAAGGGTGGGACCCAGAAATGTTTAAGATGTGTGGTGCTTCTGTTCTGTTGTTCATTGTGTAATGAAAAACTGATTTCTCCCAAGTGAGTAAAAGAAACCAAAAAGAAATCTAATCTGTGTTCCTTTCTGCTTATTCTTGGTACTGTTAGCAAGAGTGGGTTTTATTGTTCAGAATATTCAGTGATCTTCCATTTTAATAGATGTAATATTCTCCAAAAATCATCCCTAGCACAGCTGTGTTTCAGAGAGAGTCAACTGATGTATTTCCTGCAACTCTGTCTCTTCCACTAGTACTCAGTATATAGATTATCACAGCATTTATTTGACATTTCCAGTCCAATTCGTGTGTTTATAATGCAAAACTTCTAAGAGCCTAAGGAACTTCCATTTTTTTCATTTTTTGGAACATTATCTATTTGTTAAGTGCTGCTTACTGAGGGTAAAAGGCAATAATCCCTTGCTTTCTATATCAAATCAGAGCAGAAAAATAGAAATATTCTGTAGTTGTTCATTATACTGGATGGAAACTACAAACACTGGTTGCTTCCATTGGGTGAGCTCTTAGATTTTATATACTGCTATATACATCTTTCAGTACCTTTTTTTTTTTTTTTTAATTAGTAATTCTATTTATACATCTATGTATAACTGGTACCTACCTGCCTGACATTATAAAGGTTCATCCTTTTCTCATCTATTTAGAATGTTGGAGCTTTCCAATACCTACTTGTTTTCCTGAATGAAAAGATTTTTAGTTTAAATTTGATGAAGGGGCAGGGGACATTTTTAAAATTCATTGATGCCACATCCAGTTTGGAATCTGTTGACATTTAATTACCACCATCAGTTTTGCTCTGGTCCTATAGCAGTAGATTTTTCTGAATGTTTTTTAAATAAAACCCATGTAAGATTATTCAGCAGTAAGAGATGAAATTAGCTAGTACAGCAACCTCTGATCACTGTTGTTCTGCAATGTCTCTTTTAATTTTTGGATCACAGAAACCATGTGTTTATTAAATTCATGTGTAATATATTTTTTTTTCCTGGCCTGAAGTACAGCTTCTGAAGGGAGAAATTCACACCACGTTTCTGTCACGAGACAAAACTTCCTTGAATGTTGCACCAGTTAGCACACTTTTTATTACAGAATTTATGTGCAGACAACCAGATGACAGAATGATACAGCAAGTGTGAAACCATGGAATTCTGAGAGCAATATTTAAAAAAATTCTCAGGAGAAGGCATACGGTATTGAAAATTGCATCTAAGTTTAGTTTACATTTACATTACATTTTAAGTATTGCTTGAAATATCTGTACCTTTATTTTGTAAAACAGAGAAATCATGGGGACTGATTTATAAAAGGGTTGGTTGTAAGGTGTTGCTGCCCTTCTGGTTTGAATGTTAATAATAATGTAAATAAAGGTTTCTATTTAAAATCAGAACTTGGTGACACTGTGTGAGCAAATACTTTAAGGCTGATTATCCAGTAAAGGACAGAGAAAATTCCCTGCTATCACTGATGAAAAGTGTGTATAAAGAATGATTTACATTTTCTCCTAGTTGGCTCTAAAAGCTGAAGGAACAGCAACTGCCACCTTTCACTTATGAGACACACATTTAGCACTGACACCAGCTAGAAATTCTCTTTTTCAATTTAAATAGCAAGCTCTGGAAGAGCTGAAGAGGTGGAATCTTTCCCCAAACTTGGCAACAAAATACTTTTTATTCCATATCAGCTGCTTCTTGTGTCACATACAAGTGTCACAGCTCAGTCTTTTCTCAAAAGGGACAAGGTAATTTCTCAGCCAGGTGCAGTAGCACTGGCCCTGCAGGATTGTAACAGTCACAGACAGGGGCTGAACACACAAGGGTGTGCAAATTTTTAAAAAATTTAACCTTGTATTCTTTCTTCATGCACCCTGGGAATGGCAGATAGGTAAAACTTCTCTCTGGAAAGCAGCAAAAATGTGAGGGTTTTGAGGAACTGAATTATTTTTTTACTTACTTTTATGGATCCAGGATCTCATCATCTAGTAGGTTTTTCTGATAATCCATGCAATTTTGAACATGTTATAATGAAAATACATGGCTAGATTAAGACAGACATTCAGATTTTACTTCCATAATTACAAAAAGCTTGCAAAAAAGTTTTGGGTTGTATATTTGACTTACCACACGTGACACAAATAAGTCCAATCTTATTTAGGATATACAAAGAATCCACTTCTGCTTTTTGAGTGGGAATTTTTTTTTTTTTTCTCATTCCTAAATTCAAGTCCATTTTTTGACTGGGGGTTGTGGTACATGCCTGGATATAATTCCACTCGTTTTTCCTAACTGCAAAACCAGGATGGGTTTTCAAAATAATTTCCACGTTGTATTTTTACACTGCATTTCTAAAAGGACAAGTTAAGTTTGCATTTTGAAAAAAAAAAAATCCCTCTTTGTTAGGAGTGAAGGCCACAGTTGGTTGAGTCTGTCCCATGAGTGCCCTCAGGCTTTTGCCTTTAAACACAAGTAGCAAAGTAACATGAAACAAATGATAAATAGAAATCTCACCACTAGTGCCTGTAATAATGTTCTTATTAAACTACTCAAATAATTCTGTACATTGTGCTTCCTTAGTAAAATTATAGGTATTTTTTCCCCCCCTGTGAAAGTCTTTGAACAGTAACTGTCATTCAGAACATTTACTTTTTTGCAGACTAAAGTATAACTAGATTATTGATTACAAGTATTGAACTCTCAGACCTGATGTTTTTAAAAACAAGTGTAAAAGCTACACTGCTAAGCAAACTCTGCTTTCTCAAAGGAACTGTTCTGGTTTTGAACATACAGTATAATATTCCCAAATAAAAAAAAAACCTTCATAGAAATCTGATTTTGTTAAAATTTAAGATGTACATTTACTGAAATTTTTCAGTACCTTTAAAAATTAATAAATTCTGACTTAGCATTTTGAGAAATGGTGTGTGGGTGTTACACTCTTTTATTAACTAATTTCTTCACAACCTGAATGAATTTATTTTCAAACAGTACACTGATCAATATTTACACAAAACCCCTCCAAAAATCTGGCATCCTGTTAGTCAAAATTTTCTCTTAATCTTCATAGAGGTGACAATATGATGAACAAGTAGACATGGAACTAAAATGTATCCTCAGAGGAAAATGAAGAAATTCCATGGTGCTGAGAACACTTGGTGTTGCTGACTTCAGTTCCTGAATATTCTCAAAGTTCTTTTCAACCATTACCTCTACCCCAGTGCTAAGCAAAAGCATCCTCGTTTTCTAAATCTTCCTTTAGAATTGTACTTGGCTTTGAAGTTTTTTTCATGGTAGCTAAAGCAGGTGAACTGCAGTTGCAGTCCTCTTTGGGATGTGGCTGGGTTTCCTCCTCTCTCAATTCCTGAATCAGCTTCAGTTGTGTCTTCTTGAAGTAATGCCTTTTGAAGCAGGTGAGGTATAATCCAAAGCAAAAAAAGCAGGTACAACAGTGGATTTCAGAGACCTGTATTTCTGGCAGCATTTCCCATTATTTCACTGCTTCTATTCAACTCACTCAGAAGTGCAAACATTCTATCTATTTCAGCCTCAAAGTTTATCCAGTCCTGCAGGTGAATGTTACAATTCTTGTAGTCTCTAAATGGATTC